AAGTAATTTAAAAGGGTATTTCGACAACAAAAACATAATATCACAGATCTTACGAGTGTCTTCTTCAGAACAACCAGGCAAGACAGGAACTTCCATCATACTTGTATCGACACTTGTACCGATCCGTCTAAAATCTCCGTTTTCAAGGTTTTTCTGAATTCATCCGATCCATTTTTTTAAATTTTGCATTCGTCTATTTTTGGTAGCTAACTCACGTTCTTTTAATCGGATAGTTATTTCATTATTTATAATAACCAGTGTTTATATGCCAGTTTGAAAGGAGGTCACTGAATCAATCCTTTTGAATGTATCGTTTGTTAATTTTTGCTTAGCCAATGGCGTTTTTAAGACATGGTGGCCGAGTGGTTCAGGCGCTGGACTGCTATTCTAAACCGGTCTCCGTGAGTGGGTTCGAATCCCATCTCTATTGATTTGTTTTTCAGGGAATACAATTTAGTTTTTAATTTCTCCAACCTTATACTTTCACAATTATGAAATGTAATATATGATATTTGTTGTTTTAAATTGTTTACTCCACAAAAAAGGTTTTACTACGACTTATTGGTCCCTTTAAAATAACCAGATTCCTTAGAATCAGGCCATTTTGAGCTCTATAATTGACTTATAGTTATGAGTAAGCTATTCAGAAAGATGTAGAATCGCATATTCAAACATAAAATGTTCCTTATGATTTGATTTCACTCTGTCATCTCATCCCAAGTTTTGTCTTCATGGTTTAAACTCACTCTCCTAAATACTGAAACCAACTAACTACTGAATACTTAACACAAATTATTGAATTCCATACACTGAACCCTAAATACTGACCTAATTCGGCAATAAGCTTTGCGTTGTGTTTCCAAACACTCTCCACTCAACAACTCCAAATAACGAATTTATTCGGTGTTGTGTTTATAAAACTATGTTCTCAAAAACTGCTTGCTGATGTACATATCTTAAACCTAAAAAGTTAAGTCCACCAATTTAGTTAAACATTGCTTAAATTTTTTTTCTTGGAATCCGCTGTTATTGGTTTAGTCCTTGCTTTTAAGTTCCGCATTGCTAAAGATAAAAACTCCAGCTCTAGCTTTTAATTGCTCAAATGCAAGTTCGGTCAGAAACAAAATTCGGACTCCACCGACGGTTTGCAGATTCCACATAAATTTGTGGAGCCAATAACTTTTCGCGGAATCCACTTTTATTTGAGGAATCTAGAACAACTAGTTATATTGGCTTGTTGCAGAGTCCGCAACTAACTTACTCAAATAACTTTAATAGATAATTTAATCCCTATAAACAAGTTACGTTAAATAGATAGTCGACTTTCACGAGCAAATTTGACAGGCCGCCATAATTTTCAGACCATATAAAAAAATGAAAACGGCTAAAAAAAACTACCATTAAAAAAGCTCAATTTAAACAAAAATTCATAACAACAGACCTTAAACAGTTCAAGTAGTTAATTTTCTATGAAGGCATCCAGGTAACAGATACCTCATAATTGAGTTTAAAAAAACATAAGGTGAAAAATCTATCGTCTTACCACTAGCCAGAAATGTATTAGGAAACACTTTAGCCCCAACCAGGCTGCAAAAAATTCAAGTATGAAAAAGCCAACTAGTTCAATGGCAAGCTCACGTGACCCTTAGGCTTCAATCAGGAGCGCTTTCAACACAAATCTCTAAAAAATTTAGCAAACAGCCAATAATTTAAAGATAACAAAAATGTTTAAAAAAGTTTAAAGTGACCATCATATCAAAATACAGGCAAGCTCATGCGTAAATTTTATACTGACACAGCAGTACACACATTTAGAAAAGATATCACAAAATTTTGAACAACGAACCTAAATTTTTTGAATTTACACAACGAATCTAGACAACGAATCTAAGTTGTTCCACAGAAAAAATTCGACAATTTCAAAATTTTTCTAATTTTGACTAAATTTTAGCCGGCCCATAATTATTCCTTCATAAATGTGACCGATCCAACTTTGTAAACAACTAAAGTCAAATCTATGCTAACTGACGATGCAAAAAAGTAAGTCTTCGTCCGTCAAATTTTACATTTTCAGGAAACTGAACACTGATTTAAAAAAAATTAATTAACAAACTGTAAGCTCTAAGTCCACCAATTTAGTTAACCATTGCTTGAAAAAATTTTTGTGGATTCCGCTGTTGTTGGTTGTCCTTCTTAAGTTCCGCGTTGCTTTAGATATGAATTCGAGCTCTTGCTTTTAATTGCTCAAATGCAAGTTCGGTCAGAAACAAAATTCGGACTCCATCTACGGTTTGCGGATTCCACATACATTTGCGGAGTCCATTTACATTTTGCGGAATCCACTTTTAGTTGAGGAATCTAGAACAACTAGTTATTTTGGCTTGTAGCAGAGTCCGCCACACATAAAATGAGCCAACAAATTTGCGTTACAGGTAAATGTACGCGGAATCCACGAAAGTATTGCAAGTCGAAAAATTTGTCTACCATTTTTTTTGGGTCGAACAAATTGATGTTTCCGATTTTTTTTCTGGCTTTCCCAAAGCACTAAAAAGACCTTGTTTTTTCCAAGATTTTCTGCACCGCGTGTAAAAATTTAGAGAAAAAACGGGCCAAAAATGTGTTTTGGGCTATTTTTGGAAAATTTTGACCAAAAAATTGCGTTTTTTCGTTGCGCGCTCCCCCCTCAAAGTTATTATTATTTATTGGTGCCAAAGGTGCTTTTAAAAAATTTTTAGAAATTGTGAGCCAAAAATGCATATCTCCAAATAGGCAAAGGGTCACCCTTTGGATCGGCAGGGGGTCTAATCCCTGACGAAAGGGCGTCCGCCAACCCCTCCCCCCACCGTACACCCATTCCTCCCTTTTTATACTAAGTTTTTGGGCCAAAAACAAATTTTTGGATTAAAAAAAGGTCAAAAAATGGCGTTTTTTTGCACTTTTTGGAAAATTTGATCAACAAATTGCGTTTTTTCGGCGCGCGCTCCCCCTCAAAATGAGCATATATTGGCGCCGAAGAAGCTTCTAGAGAAATTTTTCTTAGGTTCAGTCAACCCAAAATGAATATCTCAAAATAGTACACAAAGGGGATCCTTTAAGTTGACAGGTATTCAATTTCCTGAGGGTCAAATCCCTAAATCCGCTACTGAAGTGCACGATGACGAAAATTGTTAATTCGAGCAAGCAAAACAAGAAATAGCGAGTTTTCAAACTACGTTATTCAACATGAGCATCCTTACTGATAGACAAGCTAAAAACCGCTCTCCTGTCATCAAGTTGTATGTAAGCAACTTCATTTTGATGAGAAACACAGCGCTGATTTGAATAAACCGGACAAAATTTGACAAACTTCAACTTTCATACGCATCTATCTCATTTTGAGTTAAAATTAGACCACAAGTGATGAGAAGAAAATTGCTTGTTTTATCAGATTTTTATGGTGCTGTTTTTTCTCCAAACTTCTCTACCAAAGTTTTATCGCAAAAATGGGTGAATTTGGCTTTTTTCAATTAATCAAAAATTACGCTGAAACTCCTTGATGAAAAAAAATATATCACAAGAAGCCTCCCACACAACATAGTTTCAGAAAAGTTGAGTCTCCAAAAAGTTGAGTAAGAAGTTCAAATTTTGTTTCGAGCAAAGATTTTGGGTTTTATAAAGTAAAAATCATATTTCTTGACTATCAAGCAAAAAAATTTTGCTTTTTTACAGGTTTTTGGAGACTTCACCCTTCCAGAACTTCATTGGGCCGTGTGAGAAGCTTCTTGTATCATGAGTTTCTCATCTAATAACAAAATAGTTTCAGCATAATTTCTGATGAATTCAAAAAGCCAAAATGACCCATTTTTGGGGTAAAACCTTGATTGAGAAAGCTGGAGAAAAAATTGCACCAAATTAATTATGATAAAATTCTAAACATATTTTGTTCTCTTCAGTTGTTGTTTAATTTTAAACCAAAATGAGAAAAACGCGTTGGAAAAATAAAGTTATGATTATTTTGTCCGGATAATTTAAATAAGCACTGTATAAAGGCACTCAATGAATTTCATTCAAAAATCTTTAGCTTATTTCTTTGGAAAAGTTTATTGCAATAATTAGAGACAATTAATGATCCCAACTTTTGTATCGAATAAAATTTCATTCAATTTTTCAAGATCAAAAGGACAACATCTTAACATACATTGAGGTTTAATTGTTATTTTGAAAAAAAAAACAGAATTTGTTCCTACGATCTTCATGTTCATGTCGCAACATTGTACATGTAGTTTGGCAATATACCAAAAATTGCTCAACTACAAATCTCATTCAGGCAACATTAGGAAGTTTAAATTCCAAATTACACATGCGTAAGAATCAAGCTCTCCCCTTTAGGTGGTTTCTTTTACTCATTTTAGTGGCACTCAAAGTTAGAGGGGAGGTTAAGGCCCCTTAAATTTCTTGTCGCTTTTACATGATCTGCTTTTTGATATTTTGAGTTTAGGCAGCTTTTTTGGAGCTAGATCTGGCTTTTCGATCGACCCTAGTTCAACACTTAATTGACCCTAATTTGAGTTCAGTTTGACCCTAATTAGACCCTATCGACCATCAAACGGCCATAGAATATGGAGATTCGATCATCATACCGATATCGTGTGTATATTCGACTGAATTCGGTCTGATCAAAATCCAAACAACTCGACCCGGTATCATTTTGCTCAGCAAATTGATACGCCCACACTGTATACAGTTTTTATACCAAATTAAACCCTAGTTCTTATTTTAAGTTTTTCTACTCTAAGGTTAGATTTATTTGATCAATGTTTATAGAACGAAGTCAATAACCGTGAAGATAAGCATTACTCCAACATATAGATGCGGACTCGTTAACCGCAAGAGTTTGTTGTACTTAATAAGTGTCAAGCAACTTTTGAAATTAATTGCTGTTGGTATTTAAAACCAACTGAGTGGCATATTTAGGTAGCAGAATTTGCCCTCAGATTTTGTTTACTCAAGAACCAAAAACCTCCTTAAAATGGTGCTTGCATTAACATGAAGCTATTCGATAAATCATAGTTCAACTGATGACAAATGTTACCTTTAAACACGCGCATTTAGTCAAAAAGAGAATTCAGTTTCGGCAATAAATTGTTTTCAGTTAAGTTTGTCATTTTGCAATCAAATAAAAAATTCAGCAACTGAACAAAAATGTCAACCGTTCGAATCACGTACTTCAATATCCGAGGCGTTGCCGAACTCACTCGACTCCTGTTCGTCTATTCGGAGCACGACTTCGAGGACGAACGACTGGAACGGGAAGCCTGGCCCGCTCGGAAACCCGAGTCGCCTCTCGGCTCGGTGCCTTACATTCGGCTCGAAAACGGCCACGAGTATCCCCAGGCGACATCTATTGCTAGGTATTTTGCCGATAAGTTCGGCCTTCGGGGTAAAACCGACGAGGAAAAATTGCACGCTGATGTTGTCGTCGATTTGGTTCGTGCCGACATAATTCCGATGCTGACTAAAATTTTCCTTGAACAAGACGCGGAAAAGAAGGAATCTGGAAAGAAAGAGGCGCAAGAGAAAATTCAAGCTTGGTTTGAAAAAATCGAGACTAAATTCATCAAGGGCGAAAGCACAATTTTGGGTAAGCTGTAGCTGAAAACAAAAAAAATTGAAGTCTCATAATTAGTTATTTTGCATAACTTTTGACTTCTTCAGAATTTAATGCATAATCGAGATTCTAGAGAGACGTGCAAGCTAAATTTTGACGCAATTTTTTCATAATTACAAAAATTAGTACAAAGCTATCATTTTCTGGTTTCTAGCGGGATTCGAACTTAATTTTACCCGCTGAAATCTTCAACATTTTTTAGAGAGTGGGACTTCATGGGCTGATATTGCGCTGTTCAATTGTGTGAACGACTTCTTCCCTGTGTTTGAATTCAAACTGGATGAGAAAAACGTGAAAATCAACAAAGTAGTCCAGAGTGTCAAGGCTAATCCAAAAATTGCCGCGTGGCTGGAGAAGCGTCCTGAGTCTGTCTTGTAAAACACAGAATGCGATGGATGTAATAAAAATGAACCATGTTACAACTTTAACCCAATAATTAATTTCTAAAACAGGGTATAACAATTCTTTGAACAATCTTTTTATAACAAAAAACTTCTTCGTTGCAGGATTCTAGACGATCGGAAAAGTTAATTCATAATTCATTTTCAAAAACCGCATAAAGTGCCAATATTTAAGGCTCGATTTTAGCACGCGCATAGAGAGTTTTTTCAGTTTAAAAATTTCCAAAACTGCTCCAAAAAATGATTTGACATGTTTCTTCAACAATCTGACTGCTATTCCAAAAATTCCCCCTTTGGTACTTTGTTCCTCTATGTGGTACTGTTTAACAACGCCAATTTTCCGAGCCTAAGATTTTTTCAAAGGGACTAAAAATTTACACTAATTATGAGGAAAAATTGCGAACGGAAAAAACGCGGTTTTTTGGTGAAAAATTCCACAAGTGCTCAATTTTGGTCCGTTTTTTTAAAGGTCATCTTCGGCGCAGGATTATTTGGCAGAGCTTTGCGAAAGCTCGTTGATCAGTTTTGTGGATCTTGAAAAAGCTCAACAGTTTTTTACATACCCTCGAAAAAATCTAGATCCTGCCTGGAGCACATTGATGGACATCGCATGCTTTTTTTTTTATTTCAGAAATCATGTGTTCAAATAACTTTTTTGTTTTGAACAATAACTAACGCAGAGCAACGGCCTAGGCTTTAGTTTTTGAACATGAACTCACTGATGGAAACTGATCCAGTCTACAGGCGATTGACTGGTCGGCCCAAGGCTCGAACTTTTGAAGTCGAAACGCTCCAAAATAATACAATGCCAATAAACACTCAAACTTTTGATGATAATTGAATTTACTTATCTGCAGTAAAAATTTCTGATAGTTTTTTAAGTTTTAAGATAGACCCGTGAAAAAAATGACCGATTGGGTCACGTCGGGTCCTTAAAAAAGTGGCTGGTTTTCATATGAAAACTTATCTGTTAGGATGTCGTTAAAAAACTCATTTTAGTCAACCTCTACACGTTCCGAGAAAAACTGGTTCTAAACTATAACTTCTAGATTAATTTACGAGGGTAGAACAGACGTGGGAAGAAGAAAAAAAAGACGTAACTTTGGCTTAAGAAAAACAAGACTGCTCATAATACAACAGTCTTGACAATTACCACACTGCCTCTACAACGATTTTAAATATAAATAATAACCTCACGAAATTTTCATTATTTAGAGATATGATTCGATTTTTTTACACTGTTGAAAATTGAAAAAATTCAGTTAGCCTTAGATGATAAAAATCAAAAAGGAAGACCCTAGATTAGTAGCACACAAAAAAATACTCGCTCTAGGCCACTTTCGCAGGAGACAAGCGCAGTATTTCGAAAGGGGGCATTACACGCCACCACCCGACTACTTGATATTTAGCAACGAAAACTAAATCAACTCATTGAACTGTCTCATTGTTTTTTATTGTTTGTACCGTATTTAGACATCTGATTGTTTGAATGGTAGCAAAGCATTTGGTGAAAGCATCAAATATTAATAATCATGATATTAAATCTCGTCCCAATCATTGTTAAATCATTTTTTAATTCTTTTCATTTCGGAAATCTTGTGTTCAACTAACTTTTTTGTTCTGAACAAAAACTAAAGCAGATCAACGGTTTTAGTTTTTGAACATGAACTCACTGATGGAAACCGGTCGGGTCTAACGGCGACTGATGGAAACCGGTCGGGTCTAACGGCGACTGACTGGTCGGCCGAAAGCTCGAACATTAGAAATCGAGACGCTCCAAAATAAAACAATGCCAATGTTAGGCCATAGAACCTTGAATAGAACTGGTATAGACCAATGTTTTTCATCCTAATAGACTAAAATTGCCTTGGCGCTTAATTTTGCGATCTAGCAAGGGTTGTGACGTACCGTATTTGTTATACAGTGATAAGATAATGTTTTTTAAATTGTTATTTGCCTTTATTATCTGAGCTCTTTTGTCTAGGAATTTTTCAACGTTTGGCGTTTGGTGTAACTTTTGTGTATCATCTTCTACAACAGTCCTGATTTAAATTATCCGGACAAAACGAACAAAACTAGAAACTTCAAACACGTTTTTCTCAATTTGGATTAAGATTACACAAAAAGTGAAGAGAACAAAAGAGAATAAAAGAATTTCATCAGAATTAATATGGTGCAATTTTTTCTCCGAATTTCTCAGCCAAATACTCACCCCAAAAATGGGTCATTTTGGCTTTTTTCAATTAATCAAAAGTCACGCCGAAATTACTTTGTTAATTGATGAGAAATATATATCACAAGAAGCCTCTTACACAGCCCAAAAAGTTCTGCAAGGGTTAAATCTCCGAAAAATGGAGTAAATTGTTTAAATTTTGACTTTAAGCAAATTTTTTGGGTTTTATATTGTAAAAATCATATTTCTCGACTATCAAGCAAAAATGTTTTTTTTTCTACAGTTTTTTGGAGAACTAACATTTTGGAACTTTGTTGAGGTATGTAAGAGGCTTCTTGTGATATGTATTTCTCATCAATTTACAAAGTAGTTTCAGCGTAACTTTTGATTAATTGAAAAAAACCAAAATTACCCATTTTTGTGGTAAATATTTGGTCGAGAACTTCTGAGAAAAATTGCACCATATTGATTCTGATGAAATTCTTTTATTATCTTTTGTTCTCTTCACTTTTTGTGTAATCTTAATCCAAATTGAGAAAAACGCGTTTGAAATTTCTAGTTTTGTTCGTTTTGTCCGGATAATTTAAATCGGAACTGTGAGTCAAGAGCCAGATTTACAGCTGTTTTTTCACTGTGATCTTTATTTGGCTTAGAGACCGTTTTTCGGATCCTTCAGTGAGTCTTACTATTGCTATGTGTTTTCAATTTATTAGCTTGTTCATTTGGTTTCTCAATTTTTTTCTACAAGTGAATTAAACTAAAATCCTCGACGAACAGTGTTTTTATCACGCTGATTTTTGTTTTTCCGAATTTTTTGTAATGATGTTTTTAATTTTCCGTTTTTGATTTTTGATTTTAACTTCAATGATGAATAGTGTTGAATGAACTAAACATCCAAACAATATTTTTTCATCAGTCAATTGTCGTTTTAATATAAACTAATCCCTGTTGTAGCTTGCGAAGTTCCTCGCGGCCTCTTCTGGAGGAAATTGTTCTATTATAACTCAACTATCCTTGTTTTTCATAATTGACGTTGTTTTTCCGTTGAGAAATTTTGCCGGGCTATCTAATTCGGCATTTGTAAAAGATTTTCTGATTTTCGGAATTTTTATATGTTCGCTTCGGTCGTCTGTACTTTTTACGGATTGTTTCTTATTCAAAAATTTCGGAAGTCGCATTCTCTGTCAAGGTTCCATAGGGGCTGTAAATTCTGCGTACGCTAATGGGTCTGTGTTAGTTGTTATATCCTCTTCTTGTTTGGTGTCTTTTGTTTGTCTTGTTTATGCATTTAACTCAGATTTGTAGATCAACGAAGACTGCTCGTATCAGGGTGAAGCCCTGAATGTTCCGACTGCCTTTTAAGGTTTATGGAGCAGTAATAACATTAAAAAATTAAATGAAATAAAACAAAATGAATTTTTTTTTCTAAAATTTGAAATTTTTTGATGAAAATCATCCCCCACACGCCATATTAAGTACAAAAGGATAGATTTAGCTCCTTGTAACAATTCAATTATGGCACATAAGATTTTTTAAACCAATTTGGAACGATTTCGCGCGTTAATTGTCCCAAATTGGCAAAAATGGCAATATTTAAACCCCGTAACTTAAAGAAAAACGATCACAGGTGAAATATCTTTTCAAATTTGAGCTCAGGACACCAATAACTTTCGAATGATATTTTAAAATTCCGTTAAAAATGGCTAGTTAAGAAGTCGAAATTTGTCTGAAGAAAAAAAAACACACCCGAGCACAAGTATTCCGTTACTTTCGTATCGAAAGTCGGAACAAAAAATTTAGCAAAAATCCCTTTTCGGCACATTTCTAGCGAATCTTACCATTAGCTAGACATGATCGCTGGGCAAGTAATTTTGACTATATAGTCTTCAATATTTTTAGCATGGTTTTCTTTTGTACTGGTTTGTTTTGTTGGTTTCTTCATAGGTGTACATGTTCTTTTTCTCATTTTGCCTTCTTCTTTTTGTTTTCAAAAACTTCTGATTTCCCCGATGTCATGTGTGATATATCGATCGGTTCTTGTTTCATTGATGGTGGTCAGACCAAACAAGGAACTGGTTTACTTGTTTCTGTGTAATCGAAGATCCAGTTGTTTCTGTGTAATCATGATCCAGGTGTCAATGCGTCCCTCAGACTCCTCCTTGAAATGTTTGCTCCTTGGTCATGGACCTTGACAAGCTAGTCTTGGAGACTTCATTGTTATTATTAGGGTTCGCGACTGTCATTTTCTTTTCGGTTGTGCACGTGTTGTCTCTTGACACTCTAGTACTTGCTGGGATTTATGGCCTCATTTCACCATCCTGGAATTTCAATGGGAAATGAGTGCAACTCGATCCGGGTCCTGGGGATTTTTTGAGTCAGCTCTCGGCTGCAACTTAATAGATCTGCTCAGCAAAAAGTTCACTTACTGCTAAATTGGCGTAGCGTTCTTGTTCAGTTCCTTTTTGATTTCCAGACCTTTTTATCCAGTCCGTAAAGTTTAGTCTCTTCTTTCACTTAGCGATACTTCTGCTCAGAGTCTTTTTCTCATTTCGTGACCCACTTGGTTACCATGTCTTTCATGGCCAGTACGTCCCACGTCCAGCACAGCCAGGTAATCATGTTGTTGTATCAATCTCTTGTTGCTATAGTCCATTGTTTTGTCCCAGTGACTTCTATTGTCATCCTAGAC